ACCTCCACTGCATCATGCCGGCATCATCATCATGCCACAGCAAAAAGCGCCGCCCAATCTCCCCTCAAGCCGCCACCGCACCCAGTCCCCTCCCCCTTCGGAAGCCGTTAAAGAAGCTTAGCTCCCTCTTCAAACCCTTTCCTTACCCCTCATCGCCGTCACCGCTCTTCCTCTAACTGCCCGCTACCGCCCTCGTACCATGCTCTTCCTCGGCTCCTCGGCGACCTCCCCGCTCGGCCGCCGGCGTCCCTCGCCATCGCTTTGCCAACATCAACCGCTACTTATCCCGCGTCCTCTTCGGCCTCGCCCTCGGCATGGAACCTCTCTGCTCACCAAAGCTTTTGGCGCGCCCAACACCCAAGGCTCGCTCACCGCTCACCCCTCTGCCGCTCCATCCTCTTCCTCCTCTCCTCCTCCCTCCCAATCTGCACGCTCTGGATTTCAATGCAGAAGATCCTCCTCTTACTGGGCCAAGACCCAGAAATCACCTCCATGGCCCAAACCTACTTAATCTACTCCCTCCCCGACCTCATATCCTTCTCCTTCATCCACCCGATAAGGATTTACCTCAGGTCCCAGGGGATGACGAAACCCTTAACTCGTGACGGCGTCGATCGCCGCCCTCCTCCACCATGCCGCTGAACTTTCTGCTGGTGAAGAGATGGGAATGGCCTCGCCGGGGTCGCCGGCCGCGCCGCGCGTCGAAACATCCTCCTCCTCCTCCTCCTCCTGGCCCACCTCCAGCATTCGACCACCGCGCCGGCGTGGCAGGACGCGGGGCCCACGTCGGAGTGTTCTCCGGGTGGGGCGCTCGGCCATGGCTGGCGCTACCGGAGCGCGTCTCCGTCTGCCTCGAGTGGTGGTGGTACGAGCTGATGATCCTCTTGTGCGGGCTTTTGCCCGACCCGAAACCCGCTATCGCGTCCATGGGCGTCTTGATCCAGACCACCGCTTTAATCTACGTCTTCCCCTCTTCGCTCGGGTTCGGAGCCTCGACTCGGGTCGGTAATGAGTTAGGCGCGAACCGGCCCGGCAAGGCGAAGACGTCAGCGTCCGTTTCGGTCTCTTTATCGGCGTTAATGGGCGTTATCGCGATGGGGTTCGCCACGTTAATGAGGGATCAGTGGGGTAGAATGTTCACCAACGATGTGGAGATCCTACGGCTGAC